ACTCCTTGAGGACAGGAATGTTTTCATTTTTATCTTTGTATCTCCAGTGCCTTATATGTAGTCTGTATTTAATCAATGCTTGTTGAATTGAACTGAAAGTTAAATCTCAACTCGACAAAACTCAAAGCCTTTATCAACCATTTCCTATTTACACAGATATATGTGCGCACATGTGCACACCCACATACACAAGTGCACACATAGGTATGAGACACAGGCCCTGCTACCAAGAAGGCTCCTAAGCACAGGACACTGTCCTTGATCATTTTTTGTTCAGTATTTTTACTATTAACTTAGAAGAAGGCATAGATAGTATGCTTATTAAATCTACATATGACCAGAAGCTGAGACAGCTATAAGGTTGTGGAATAGAAATGAGACCCAAAAGACTCAACATGCTAGAATACTGGGCTGAATCTAATCAGAGGAAATTTAATAGGTATAAATGTAAAGTCCTAAAGAGGTTCAAAAAAATCAACTGCATAAGGAGAGGAGTGAATGTTATATCTCAGACTTCGGTAAGAGAAGTGGCAAAACAGGGTAGTTTATAATCTTCACTGTACCTTGTTTTCGTGAGACTATATCTAGAATTCTGTGTTAAGTTCTGGCCAACATATTTTAGAAAAGGCAATAAGAAACTAAAACAGGTACTGAGGATGACTTACAGGATGAGGGGGACTTGAAGCTACTTCACTGGAAGACTAGTTGAAATAACTGGGGATATGTAGCCTGCTAAAGGAAAGATAAGGGAAAGTGATAGCTATCTCTAGGCATTTGGAGGACTGACATGTAAAAAATGAATTCTGCTTTCCGAAACAATGAGTAAAAGTTCACAAATCATGGGATCATAGTCTAGAGCTAAGAGGTCATTGAATCCAACTCCTTCATTTACAGATGAGGAAACAGAGGCACAAAAAGATTAAGTAACTTGTCCGGTTGCAGAGGCAGATTCAGATTAATCTTTTTTCCAACACTTACAACTGCCCAAAAGTATAATGGCCTTACTTGGTAAATTGTCCATCATTGGAGGTCTTCAAAAAGAGATTAGAAACCATTTGTTGGGGATATTACAGAGCAGATTTTTGTTCAGATATGTACCAGACAAGAGATTTTGGAGTTCCCTTTCAATTGTGATATCCTATAATTAATTTGCACCTCTTATCCCAAAAAACAAATGAATTATAAAATTTTCCTTTTGAAGGCCTCTTGATGAAGATTGCACTTTTAGAAGACAGTATTCTTTTTTGTCATGCACAGGCTATCATTAATAAAAGTAGGCAAAGAGGACCAATGACAAACAATTGCTTAAGTTCTGGGCATCTAGATTCATAGGGGCTCAGAATCAAAGGTGCTCAGAAGCCCACAATCAGAAATCATGTTGTATTTTATCATGTACAGTAATCATTTGGCAGAGTAAACAAATATGCCTGTGACATTACATATATTCTAATACATCTTGTATGTACCTAGTCATTTTCATGTTTGTTTCTGCCATTAGAATATAGGTTTCCTGAGGACAGGGACTGTTTTTGTCTTTTTTTTCTAAGTATACCTAAGCTCTTAGCCCAATGCCTGGCATATTTATAGTAAATGTTTAATAAATGTTTGTTGACTGACTGAATGTCACTAAGAAGACAGTCAAGGGGCATTTAGGTGGTGCAGTGGATAGAGCACTGGCTCTAATGTCAGGAAGACCTGAGTTCAAATCTGGCCTCAGACACTTAAGAGCTGTGTGACCCTGGGCAAGTCACTTAAACTCAACTGCCTCCAAAGAAAAAAGCAGTCAACTTTCCTCTATACTAAATTCCAAAAGAAGTCACAGAATTTGTCTTTTAGGACTATCAGGTTACAGCAAAGTGGGCCATTTGGTTAAACGCTACGTTTAAGGACACCTTAGGGCAAAGGTATCTTTTCATGACAAAAATAAAATAGTTTACAGTAAGAGGGAGGGCAAAGGAGGGAACCAAAAGAAGTAAACATGAAAGTACTATTTATAAGAAACATCTAGCAAGAATTGTACAAGAAAATCTACAAAAGCAAACTTCTAGTTTAGTATTAGTAATACATAAATTACTTCATTTAAATCAATGTCCCTCTAAATGGAATCAATTTTGAGGTGGGACACTACACAAAATTGCAACCAGCATCTTCTGCGCATTAATTTTCATCTGGACACATTAATAATACAAAGCAAAGGCAATTATATTTTTCTATGATAATATTTGGATTATTTGTAGGACAGAAATGTTTTCTTTAAAAGTTCACTTTTTAGCTTCCTTAACAAAATATCCTATATACAATATACAAGCAGTGTGGCAATGAGTTCATTCTACAAGGCTGAGATTAAGGACTTTCTAACCACAAGTGAACAGATTTGGACATTAAGAAAGAACTCTTTGTAGATGACAAACAATTTATATGGTCAACTATATCAGTGAATAGCATTTAAAATGCAACCAAAAAAAGTAGCCAGTAAGATAGTAAGGACAAACAAGTGAAGATTATGTATTTTCTGCTCTTTAGCATTAAGAAAAAAGAGAAGTTCCTCTAAAAGAAGTGGTATGAAATATATTTTAAGAGCCTAAGTAAATGTCATCTAAGTACCTCTGCAAACTCCCATCATTCTACAAGTTGAGTTTCCATACAGAAATGAAGAATCATTGTCACATATCTATTTTCCTATGACTTTACTTAGCTTGAATAGATAGAAGACAGACTCCATTACACCTCTACTCTGATACCTTCCTGTGGGCTAGTGATGAGCCATGATTTTCAAATGCTGTGCAAGTCAAGTCCAACTCTTGGCAGGGGGTCCTGAGCTGGAAATGCTCAGACTAGGGATCTGGTAGCTTAGGCTGTGTCTATGTTGAAAGGGTCACCATCAAAAGTCTGGCTACAGGGTAATTAATTTTTCTGGCCCCTACAACTTATGAAGCTATCCACTGAGACAGAGGGGGTTGCAATCTGCATTGTTGGTAGGAGTACTCACACTGATGCTTCTCTAAAATTACAGTTTATCATATTTTTAAGGTTTATCAATTGATGCAACAGAGATAGACCTCATAGATTTCCTTTCAACAGGAGCTGAATGTAATTACTAAGTTAAAAATTTGATCATTTAATCTATTAAACCTCTTTCAAGTCAGAATATTCTAGAAACTCCATGGTTTAACATTCCAAGATAACTAAAAATAAGGTCAAATATAACATTTCTAACTCCAAAGCCAGTAGTAGGCACCAGCAAAAATTCTCATTTTTTGGGGTTAAATTTATGTTATACACTAAAAGGTTTTGTACTGCAGAAAACAATGCACATTTTTTTTCATTAAAATCACTATTAAGTAAGAAATTAAAATTCTAGATTTCAAGGAACATATTTAGTATCTCATCTAGCATTTCTTTCAAAGGCTTACTTTATTATCGGTAGGGTATACTGTGTATTCTGCTGTCACACTTTTCACTTCTTCCAATTTGATGAACTTTTCGAATGTTGTACACTTTTGAGCAAAAAATGAGTAAAAGTCCACAATGAAGAACAGCCACCACTCCAAGCTGACTGAGGTTTCATAGGACCTCTCTACTTATGATTGCTTTTAACTAGTTATATATAGCCAAAACTGCTAATTTATAGAAAACAGTCATTTACAGGAGGAGAGGAATCTGCTGCTTATTTTCTGTTGATGTCTCCTTAGGAGTCTGACACTATTTTGGAGAAGTAATTTAAGCCTGAGACTGAGATAGTCTATAATGGATTCCTTTTAAAGTAAACACTGTTAAATACCCCCCAAGATCACACTCCCAACCCCCCACCAAATCCCACCATGCAATAGCCAAATTACATGCAGAACTGCAGGAATGTCATACAAAAATTCTTATCACATTTCACCTCAAGAAAAAACATCGGAAAATATAAAAATAACTCATGTCAATGTTTTAATCAAGGTATAGAGTACACAGAACAGAACCTTATGTATCATTTAATAAGTCCACCTAAGACCAATTATTTCTTTTTTTTTAGCTAAAACAACAGCTAATAGAGAAAACAAATTAGGGAGAGGGAAGGCTGAACAACAACAGTATACTTGTAGTAGTTAATGACAGGGCAGTAAGTACCTTTCTAACAGAGAGAGATTTAGCGGGACTAAAGGCCTGCTCTGTGAGATCGAGCCCTTCAATAGTTTCCGTACAGTCAGAGAGGGGAGCATCCTGAAACAGTAAACTGAGTAAACAGAGCACACCAAGCCTGATCTTCATAATTTCAATCAAGAGCACATTATGGTGCCAATTATAAGCATGCGGCAGAAACATAGTCAATATAGTTCTAAATAGCTACGGGAAGTACATTACATGCAGAAAAGCATCAAACTATGGTTTACACAACTAATCAAACCTTTTTATAAAACAAACAAAAAAGTCCCCACTCCCCCCCACACCTATCAATCTCACAGATCCTAAAATGTCATTATTTTAAATGCAATGGGTTGCATATCTAGGCGTACTGATTGATACTTTTGCAAGTATTTTCAAGTATTGGTAGTGCTAACTATCAATATTAGAAACTTCAGAAGTGCATTTACATCAGCAGCACATATTTAAACTACCATCCCTTTTTAAAGCAACTACTTTTTAGCAGCATTAAATTTCAGACAGGCAACAGAGAACATCACTCATGGCATTTTATACATTACATGGTTAAAACATATGAAAAATCTAGATGACATAAATCCATCTAGGTTTCTAAAGGATGACAGCCTATAAAACTGCTTTTCCATACTGCATGCATCATATTGAGCAACAATTCACAGAGCATACTCCACTATCATGCTTGATCTATCCAAATAAAAAAGTCTAGAATTTTTTTCTCAACACACTTTAATAAAAACAACAGGGTTGCTTCTAATACTTACCTAGTAAAGTTATTCTCTGCCACAGAATAATTTTACAACCGATTAAAATTATAAATTCATCACATTAATGCTGAAGACAGTCTGAATTCTCACCTGTACAAGACTCCTGTCCATTACTACACCACAAAGAACCTGTGACTGAGGGCCAGCAGTTTTGATATCCTGTAAATTTTGCTCTCGGATCTGTAAGTAGGGGGAGGGGGAGAATAAGAACAAATACATATAAAAGGGAGCATGAAACTTATCTTGTCAATGATGTAATTTATGATTCTTTTGTATCAGCAGCCTACCTGACTTCAGGTTCATTTTTCTCCTCCTCTGCCTCACACCACAGAAAATGGAACAGATGCCAGAAGTGAATCTTTGAAACTACAAAGCCCTTAACTACCATTTTACTATGTTCAATTCTATTCTTGTTACAGAGTCTGAGATTTATAACACATTAAACATTTAGATGCTTTAAAGTAATGTAATTGGGCTTAATAAGGTAAAAACTATGGTTGGACAATTAGGGTTTTTTCTTGACTTGATAAAGATCTTCACTGATAAACTCACTTGGAACGTGAGGAAAATATTTTCTACCTGCCTTATATCACTGTATATAACGTAAATTGCTTTATCTTCATTCATTCATCATTTATTGAGCTCCTATATGCAAGGTACTATTCTGGGTTCTGTGAGAGACTGATAGATAGTAAGATACAGTCCTTGCTGGCAGGCTGATAATCTAGTATGGGTATTACTGCACACAGGCATAATCTTAACTTCTGAGATCTCAATTCCTTCAACTGTAAATGAGAAATTAAAATAGCTTTTACAAATCCCTTTCAGTGATAACTTTCCATTTTCTAAAACCCCTTCTAGATTTAACAGTCTATTGAATAAAATACAGATTAGGATAATAAGAGAAGTACAAACAAATTAAAATAAATAGAGAAGAATAACAAAGCAATATGAGTTTAGATGAAGGAAAAATCACTACCAGCTAGGGGATTATGGAAGGTTTCATGGAGAAAATGGTATTTAAGTTGGATTTTCAAGGATGGGAATAATTTTAGCAGATGGAAATGGGATGAAGAAATTCTAAGTACAAGAATAGCATCTGCCACGAAGTGGTTCCATTAAAATATGATCCTTGGTAAAACAACATAGTTGGGGAGGGGCCTGGGAGAGAGCAGTTAGTGGCATAGGATCAAAGATATAAACAAAATGGTAAACAGAGGGAAATTTCAGAGAAGTTAATGCACATTGAATCATTAAATATATAATTTGTGCCTCAGGAAATTAGCCAAATGATGTTATGATGGGGGCTTGGGATAATGGACTATAATGATATTATTGTGAGGGATACACTTGTACAGGGAACATTGTAAACAAAGGTGTGGAGGCGAGAAAAGGCAAAAGGATGTTTTCAGATGACAGTGAGTTGTTTAGTTTGGCTAGATTGTTGAATACACTACAAAACTAGAAAGGTAGGTTGAAGGTAGACTTTGGAGAACCTTAGATCATATCTACAAACCAAAAAACTATAGTTCTGTAGCTTTTAACTTTGTACCTTGGCAAGTAGTGTATTTTACAATAGACTTTGGATTAAACTTTTTAACTCATTCTGAAGATACCAACTTAAGGACTAATATTTAAGAGAACAATGATTGCTATCTTCTCAGCAATAGCTTTACTAGTGAAAACTATCTTCTTATAATGGAAGATGCTGGAAATATCATCACCAACAAAAAAAAAAACTCCGGTCATCATTTATGGAATATTAGCTTCAACAAAACAATAACAGTAATTAAAATGGACAGAAAATACATACCTTGTTCCTCATTTCCTGGACCTCTTTAGGGTTAGTGTTCAATGGAACAAACAGGTTAGGGACAGCAGAGGTGGAAGTTCTAGGTCCATCCTCTTTAGTCCACTGTAATATCAAGAACAGTTGAATAGTCAGGATTGCTATAATGGCAAGTGATATCCACAGCAGCAAATCTACATCACATCTCTTCATGCACTATACATAACAGATAGAGAACTGAACCAATGATTTCATTTCATTTCTCAATTCCCAACACCCTCAAACTTCTTCCTGCATCAAACAATACAGAAGTTAAGAATCTGTTAAAAAAAATGTATATGTTTTAAAGTCAAAATTGTGACTTATCAACAAATGCATTTTCAAAACTTGTCTAAAACATATGCACAATAAAAAAGGCTTATGCTAGAAAAAAGCTTAAATTTTCTTTGCAATGTCACTTAATAGTGAATGCTAGCATTTTAACAGCGATCATTGATTCACCGCTCTGATAATTAACAGACATTAAAGCAAACTTAAAGCATAAGATGACAGTAGTATGAAAAGCAATGTGATGTTACTAACCAGGTGTAGTGAATGATTTTGAACTGCGAGGCAAGAGTGGGCATCACCAAAGTTTTGCATTAAAAAAAAACTATAGAATCAGAATGTATTGGCTGCATAATTACTTCAACCCAAGAAAATTACTGTATGAACATTTATACAGTAGCTACCTGGTGGAAGAGTTTGGTGATGTCAAATATTTCATTTAACTTAATAGTTTCAAGTGTTATAAAAAAAAATCCCAAACTGAAACTTTAAGCATTTCATGAGACCCTTGTTGAAGGCTGTTTTACTTATCAGTGCAGCTGGTGTGTGGATGGCTTTCTGCTCCACATTTTCTCTTGTTTTCTAATCCAGTACAAAATTTTAAAAAAGAAAATCCATAATGCTTGGGCCTAAACAGCACTGAATATTAAAACAAGCCTATTTTCCAGAGCAAATGCTTTGTCTTTCTGAGTATTTTCAGGAGACAATAAGATAGCTGTAAGCCATTAAGACTTTAGAGGAAGCAACAAAATGCTAAAAATGCTTAGCCACCATAAAGGAAAATATGGAATGAATATGGAGCTGTGGAATACTCACTGATGATTATCTTCTCAGATAAATATAACTCCAGCTTTTTATTAAAGATAATTTTTTTTAGTCAAAACATTAAAACAACAACCTCAGAAGCCTGAAACTGCTTGAAAAATTAAGAACAAGTATTATAAATTAAATACACCAACCTGGGACACTGTATGCTTTTTATCTTATTCCATAATAATATAAAGACAAGGTTAATTTAATTGCTTTACATGGTCTTTCCTTCAAATGTATGCCGATTAATTATACGTAGCAAGGGATTTGATTACACTGTTTTCAAGCCAACATAAATAAAACTTAAAGCTATAGCTGGATGTGCTTTTAAGTAGCCAAGTACTACAGAAATATATTACATCATTTGGGTAAAAATTAAAAGAAATACCTTATTCCACTTTCAAATGAAAAGAAAAAGTAAATTCATTTAAGCAAGTAAAACCATCTAAACAAAACAGAAAAAAAATTCAAAGGAAAAGGAAATAAGAAGCCCACTCACCACATACACAAAGAATTTCTCTGCTTTTTTCAGGGCTTACTAGAAAAGAGTCTACTAATTTGCTCAAGAGTATATAGATTCTCTTAAAACAGTTTTACCAATAGAAAACCAAACTAAACCAAACCAAAAACCATCTAAGAAGGCTGAACTTTTTTTCAAACAAAATTATGTCAAATAGCCATAAAGAGGAGAACTGAAAGATGTAACTTGACTATTTAAAGTCAATTGTTTTACATCTCAACTGAACCCTGTAGAGCTGATCATGCATCTGGGTTCATTCCAATATTCAGTTCCCTCATATAAGCCTCTAGAAGTGCTTACAGTGCTTATAGACATGCAAATTTCTATTTGCATTTTAATATAGAACCGTGGACTATCAAGTGAGAAATCAAATAAGTTTTTGAGACTAACAAAGGGGCTTGAGGTCCTAAAGCATGTCAATACCATTACTTTGGAATATCTCAGTACATATTTTAAATTTCAAATAGCATTAATAACAACAACAAAAAAATCACCAGTTGCAGTATCTTTCGATTAGTGCCTGCTGATGGCCTGAGCTGCACTTTAGTCATGCCGCACCCAGCTGGGACTGGAGGAGAGACTTATCACTTATGGCCATCTACTTACATGCAACAGTTCATGCAGGAGGCAGCTGGTTGTGAACATTTAGAGGCTTTGGGATACAGAGAAATGTAACAGGTTGCAGGACAGAAAAATTAAAGCTAAGAACACATGAATATTACATTAAGTAAAAACTGCTTAAGAAAGCACTAAAGATTTTTTTTTAACAGAGACTAGTCTACTAGAAATACTTAACCAAATCACTGAAATTGACTTGGGGTACTAAAATACTAGTTTAATAATATAAAGGTATAAAGGCCTTTCCATGCATGCAATATTAATAGTCCCAAGGCAAATATAAATTGACTTAAAATATGGAAGTATACAAATTTAATTCATTTAAGTGATTTGATATTTTACACTGAGTCAAGCTATTACTAGAGTAAGCAAGCAAATATTCTGTATCTTAAGCAGTTTCAAGCAGATAGTATTAGAGAGAATCACAGAATCTGAGTTAGAAAGAAATTCAGAGGTCATCTAGTCCAACCTGTCTGAAGCATCAGTTCTCCAAAATTTAACCAATGTGAGAAGTTTACTCTGCCAGATTAAAAGAAGGTTAATGTAGTAGTTTTAGTTTTAATCAAGGTTAGCAAAGTTTTTGATTCCCAAAGCCTCCAAACTTTCAGCCACCCAAGTTGCTCTACATCATCTAACTATGAACAGTAAGGTAGGCACAGACCAAGCAGTTGGTAATACAGCTTGGCACGCAGACACCGGACGAGAGAGACTGCAGCAAGGGTTTCACGTGATCGTGTGTAATGTTCGTCCACACCTTAGTCTTCGACTTGGGACTGCTTCCATTCTGCCCTTCTTCAGAAGCATCATCACCTCTGCCAGAATTCAGCCATCTTGTCTTCTCTCGCTGTTGTTTCTGAAAACTGTGTCTGAGAGGGGAGCAAGTGCCTGAGTCACCGTCACTAGCAAAGGAGTAACCTGTGACACTAGCAGGAACCTCAACATCACTGTATTTTTTGGATTTCTCTCTCAAAGCAGGGCATCGATATGGGTAGCCAGTTCTATAACCCTAAGGACAAAACAGATAGAAAGAATCAATATTCTGTGTTTCACAAAATCTATTTCTGTTCAATTTATTCATCATTGCAGTATACGTTATGGTCATCAACTTAAAATGTAGAAGGAGAAAGAATACAAATCATAACTATTTTTTAAAGTCTGATTACTTCCTTAAAGGATGCAGCAATTTTGGGAGGGGGCTGGAGAGGGGAATGGACCTGCAATTTTATAGGTATAATGAACTCCCAGGTAAGAAAATTCCCTCTACCAACACATATTGGCACCTCTTCTGTAACAGTCTCAGAAAATTGCCTAGAGCACTTAGAGGTTAAGTCGCTTGTCTAAGGTCATGCAACCAGGATGTGTCAGAGCTGAGACTTGAACCCAAGTCCAGAATCTAGACTGACTTTAGCCACTGTGCATTCGGCCTCAAATCTTGGGGTATAACTAAAAAGATTCTTCTCATTGAGCTGAGTACCAGTTTTTGACATTCAGCATTTTCACAGCTCCCTCAGTTGCCTCTGATCAGAGGCTGGAGGGCTCCTCCCAAAGCCTGCTTTTACAAAGGGCTGAGAACTTTTCAGGACACTCTCTAGTTTCTATTAGAAGCTCTGCTTGGTTTCAACTCCAGGAAACATCACATCCCTGTACCAGCTATTCCCTGGTGCCCCCCTCACCATTTTCAGTTTCTTTTTGTGTGTTGTCTTCTTCTATTAGATTGCAAGCTCCTGGAGGGCAGGGACTGACTGTTTATTTGCATATCCCTAGTGCTTAGCGTATCTACTTAGTATACTATTAGTATCTACTTAGATACTATTAAGTATCTACTAATAGTAGTAGATACTTAATAAATGTTTATTGAATTGAACTGAAAATTAAGATTCCCTGATATTTTTCCCAAAACAGTAACATTTAGTTATAAACATGGCCAAGAAATCACAGGTTAAGAGTGAAAATAGCAAACTTGTGTACAATTCTAGTAATTCAAATTTTAAGTGATTTCTTCCCAAATTCCAGTCCAGTTTTATAGTCTGTTAGCTATTACCAATAGTATCCTATAAATAGAGTACCCAGGGAATCCAGCTGTCTGAGGAAGGGTGGGGAATGGGGTAGAGAGGAAAGATAGAAAGGAAAGATGCTAAATGGTCAAGAATGGAAAGTCCAAATCAAGTGTCAAAGACCGAGGTGGGACTAGAGAGATGTTTTACAGAGGTACCCAGAAATATGTTTCAGGTGCCTCAGTTGACGCTATACTATGGAATTACAATACTTCTTGGCTCTATAGAAAGTGTCATCAAGGCAGCCACTCCCCACCTACTTCCACCCCATTTCTGTTCCTTTAATTCACTGACTCATTGATAATAATTTACCATATTTTGAGAGAGATCAAATGTTAGTGAAAATACCACATTTTTAAAAAAAAATCTTATTTTTAAATTCTAACAGGCTCTAATCAAGTCAGACTTCGTGTGGTATAATGTTGTTATTATTTATGTTAATAACAATAGTAGTTCAAATTTATGAAGTGCTTTACATGCATTACCTTATCTGATACTCACAACAATACTATAGATAATGGAAATATTATTATTACTCATTTCCAGATAAGGGACTGAGGCTCAGAAAAGTGACCTGGCCATAGCTGTATAGCCGAGTAATTAAACCTGTTCAAATTATGCTTTCTGGTGCTAAATTTGGCGCTCCTTCCACAAAACTATGAATTATGTCAAATGAGAATGCATGTATATGCTTAATTATCACAAAACAGTATGTAAAAGTAAGACATTAAATAGTCACTCACATTTTATAATAAATCAAGACATTTTCTTCTTTGAAAGTCTATTTATGAAGTCTAAATGGGTCTAGACATACACAATGACTTTGCTTCCTATATTTTATGTTTTAGAATATGTAATTATTTTTCATAGAAAATATTATTTATGTTACATATAGTAGGTTTATTATTGTTATTTTAAAATGAAGATGTTAAAATTTATGTTTGAACTTTTAATAAGGAAAATATTGATAGACAGAACCTACAAAAACAAAAGCTCTTTGGGGTCCTTAATATAATATATAAAAGAGGTCATGAGATCAAAAAGGGTGAGAACTGCTCATCTAAAACATAGCATACTAAGATACTTTTGAAATGCTGAACTTGGCTTGCTGTACTTTTACATGATAATATTCTAAAAAAAACTTCACTAGTGTGAAAATTTGTACTTTTGAACTAAAAGGATAAAGGGTTAGCATTTGTCTTACCAAATTATCAAGCATTCTCATGAGGGCTTCAAATTCCTGTTCTCCAATCAGCCATTTAGGATGTGACCCAGTTCCCTCTCCTACTGGAGACTCAGGGGAACGAGATTTAGCTTTGTATTTTCCAGGATCTAACAGGACTAAGTTATCAGGTCCTCCTGCACTGGCCAGCGTACGAACCTGTACCAAAAAAAAAAAAAAATCATGTCAACAGTTTGACTTCTGTGTTAAAGCCAAGAGAATTAGCTGAATAATGAAATATCTGTGATTCATCAGTATAGAGAACTCAATATGTTAACTCCTTTTGCCAATTCAGACTGCAAAAGAATAACCCACTTGTGACTCAGTATAAAAGTCCAAGGCCTGAGACTCATAGAAGTTAAATAATTTATCCATGGTCACACAATTGGGAAGTATTACAGCAGGATTTGAATCTAGGTCTTAGTGATTCCAAGCCAAGCATTCTATGTATTACTATTGTTGGATTTTGAGAAAACAAGTAACTTACCAAGCATAATGAAATAATACTAAAGTCCTACTCCATTGTCCCACAGTGGTGTGAAGGTCACTGAATTCTTAAAAAACTATACTGAGTGTAAAATGGCATGCCCTACCATGCTAAGAAAAGTTTTAAGTAATGGACTGTTGTTCAAATAATATCCTAGTTAAATGTGGCAAGGCTCCCAACCTAACATCGTTCACCAAGTAAAGGATTTTTTGGTCACAGTAACTCATGAAATCATGAAAAAAATGGTTATAATTTGCATCATGGAAGGAAGTACCTCAGGCTGACAAAATCACAAATCTTTTGAATTCACAAAATAATAATACAAAATTTAAAGGACTAGTCTTCAAAAAGTTGCTTTAGCAAGCTTGAACAATGTTATGTTCAGATTTGGTACCAAATATAAGAAAACAAAGACCTTATAAAATATGTATGAAGTATTCCTTTTTGTAGCAATGTGTTGAAAATTAAGTTTTTTATATTTTCTATCACAGAGTTTGTTCATTCATTCAATAAATATTTAAACATGCTATTTTTAAGAGACTCTGTGAGGTGCTATTTGGGGTACAAAGACTGATTTAACAAACATTAAGTGATATAGCCTATGTGTAATGCATTGTACTTAGTGCTATAGCAGGGTATACAGAAAAATGATTAAGAATCATGTGGTCTATAGTCTAGGAGGAAAGAACATATATACATATATTACTATTAATATGACGTAGAATGTGTCGTGTCAGAAGAGAAAGATCACTTCTGTGCTAGGAGAATTAGGGAAAACATTGTCAAGATGGTTGCATTTGTACCAAAGGAAGTCACAAAGCATTCACTTACTCAAGAAATATTTAATAAGTAACTATTATGTGGAGAACTCTGCTACTGATTTTTGTTAAATTTCCAATATTATGAGTTCAATTTCAGCATAGACATTACCTTTTTAAACTCTCCTTTAGTTTTGTGAAACAAACACTCAAATATCCCCACATAAATTCTCTTCTACTAGCATCTTTTAAGTGAAACATGGATTAAAATAAAGTGCTCATTATTTACCTGGATCTCACAAGCTACCACAAGATTATGTATATAGTAGAAAGCTTCTTCAACAGTTTCTCCAACTGATACTAGGCCATGATTCCTGAGAATAAGAACCTGAGGGAAGAATACATAACAAAAGGTAACTAGAAGGGGATAAAAAGGGAAAATGAAAATCTTTGGAAGGACTTTGGGAGGACCCATACATTAATGTATTATTGATGGTGCTATGAATTTGCCCACTCATTCTGGGAAGCAATTTGGAACTATAACCAAGAAGTCATCAAACTGTGCATACTCTTTGACCAGGCAATACAACTACTAGGCATATACTCCAAAAATGTGAAAGACAGAGGGAAAGGTTGTATATGTAAAAGAAGATATTTATAGCAAAACTTTTTGTTGTAGCAAAGAACTGAAAACAAATTGGATGCTCATCAACTGAGGAATGGCTGGACAAATTATGGTATATGAATGTAATGAATAAATGAATTAAAAAGCACTTATTAAGCACTTACTACCTGCCAAGCATTGGACTATGTGTTGGAGATACAAATACAAAAAGACAGGTCCTTCTCCCAAAAAATTTACATTCTAATATGGAAACAACTCATATAAGGGAGTAGTGACCAGACAGGGGCACTTTGGTTCTGAAAGTTACAGGCGTGAGGCCCTGGGGAGTATCTCATTCAGGAACAAAAGTATAGTTGATCTGATCATGTTTTATACTTCTAAAATTGGAAGAGGGAGGGAGATAGAGGTGAGAAGGAAAGTGGATGAATTTGGAGGAATGAATTCAGAGAAAGCTGAGAAGACTTGTATGTAGTGATATGGTGTGAAGAGACAATTTATACAATTTATACAATTACAATGAAAAAGAAAACAGCTTTGAAAAACAAAAACTCTGATCAACAATGACCAATCAAGAATTCAGAATTATAATCATGAAGTATATCTCCCATATCTTGGCAGAGAGATAATGGATTAGAAGTGCAGAATGAGAGAGAAACATTCAGATAAGGCCAATATATGAATTTGTTTTGCTTTACTATACTTATTTGTCATAAGGGAGAGCTTTTATTTTCTGTGGAGAAGGAATAAGTGGGAAGTGATAATAATAAAATAAAAAGAAAAGAAATGAACAAATAAAACATTTTCTTAAAAGAAGAAAGGAGAAGGACATTCAGAAGGTGATAAATATAAGCAGGGCTGCAGCCCTGCTTAAATTTAACATACACTTAACAAAACAAGAAGTATGTAATGAGATTCACAAGTCTATTTTCTGTATCTTTTTTTAAAAAAAAATTCACATTTAATTAGTTGATGTTTACATTCATAATAAAAAAGGAAAACTTTTAAAGGAAAAGACAGTTAGACAATTATTCCCCATCTTCTATTACCCAGTATTTACTGACCTTGCTTTTAGGTCCTAAATTTTTCTGAATCAATACTTTTTCTTCATCATCCACCAAAATTCCATGATAGTCATGATAAGCCACTTCTCCAAGAGAAAGTGCTTCTGGTGAGATTGGCAAGAGACCACACTTCATTGCAGAAACCTAAATAAAATGAAGTATTCAATTAATTATTAACATAAAACAAGGACTACACATAGTTTATTTTCCCCCTAATGAATCCATGGTTTCGTCAGTGTGGTACTACATTGGTACAGATCACAAACACTCCAAATCTTCAGCATTTTACGTAATTCTTATCTAAGACTTCCTACAACTTCCTACAACAATAGATGATGCAGGACTTTGGAGACCTTCCTCTGATTCTTTTAATATTTAAGAGGTGCTAGTACAACACTTGGGCTATCCATCCCTCTAGGAGCTACAGACATATTCCCATATTCTAACCCACTAAATCAGTCCCTTTGCCCCCACCAATCCCTATCAAGAAAAAGAAAAATGTGTTCTTTTAAAAAAATCCTTACCTTGCAATTTTTCCTTCATTAAATAATTTAAAATGTGAAATTGGGAAGAATTGAGGTTTATTAAACCTTATCAACAAAATTAAAAACAAAATCCATCATTATAATCAGCCTCAAAAATAGGTTTTCAAATTCCTCGCTTTCCTATTCATGATATAAATTGATTGAGGCTCATTAAAAGTACAAATTCTCAAGTGCTAAAAAACATCCTCTCACTAAAAGCTTCCCCAAAATTTAAAAATTGTGCTATGAGTTTGCTTTAGAATACTGATATTTCATTTCCTGAGGATACTCAGAAGTCTTTCAGAACACAATAATATTTATTCTATAGTACACTTCACATTCTTAAATAAGTTACTAAGGAAGCAATCTAATAGAACAGGTTCCAATTTAACTTCTTTCATAGTAATAAGCTTCAAAAATTGATAGGAAATTTCATTTTAGGGCAAACCATTCTCTTTTCTCAGTACTCATTTTAAAAAGCATGAAACATGTGCCATGTATTTTATATTTATATTCAAAACCTGCCTCCAATAGTCCCTAAAAGTCCAGGGATTGTTAGGTAACCTTAAAAACATGCATATTCCTTTTCAGAAAAATTACATCAGTCAGATAAAATCAGTAAATCCATCTACATCTCTGAGCTGGAAATCATTTCTGCCATGAATCATACATAGATGTACAGAAATCAAACAAACATATCAATAAACCATACAATAAAAGAACTGAAAATAAGCATCCATGATCCTTTAAAGTCAACTTTGGTACTCTGAAGCCCACAAAGAAGATATTATTAAAGTGTAATAAACTTAGCAATGAAAAGAAACATTCTAAAAGTATTACTTTTCCACGTACATTATATTAGAAAATAGTGTGAGGGCAGCTAGGTAGCTCAGTGGATAAAGCACCGGCCCTGAAGTCAGGAGGACCTGAGTTCAACTCTGGCCTCAGACCAAACACTTGACACTTACTAGCTGTGTGACCCTGGGCAAGTCACTTAACCCCAACTGCCTAAAAAACAAAACAAAGAAAATAGTGTGCACGTATAAAGATCTCATTGGTGAGCTGAGGTAAGTCAGGTATTTGTCTCAATGGTTCCAGTTTTTTCCTTAGTTCAGACCACCCTAAGGGATGGTTCTACACATATGACCCACAACATTCTCCCTCTTCATTCCATGTCTATTTCTTTATTCATCTAAATCAAGGGGCTTGGCTCAGGCATAGGTGGTGTGAAGAGCTTAATTTAAAAACCACAGCCAGACATTAATGTCAGATAAATTCTGTACATGTTTTCCTTCCTCTATTTAATGGATTCATGAACTACATATCAGTAACTTGGATGAACGGATGGATGAAATGCCTATTAAATTTAGGGATAACTTGAATTTAAGAAGAATAGCTAAAAATACCTTCACAAATTAGAAAATTGGACTAAATTTAAGATAAAATTTAATAGGGACAAATGTAAAGTCCTACAGTTAAGATTTTTAAAATTCAAATATACAAACCCATAGAAAGAGACCTGAAAATTTTAGGATTTTAGGATTAACAATGTGACACAATGGCTAAAATAATTTAATCTATATCACTCAACAAGTATTTGTTAAGCACCTACTATGTGCCAGGTATTATGCTAGGCACTGGGGGTACGAGTACAGGGAATGAAACAATCCCTATTTGAAAAGAGTTTAATGTGATTTTGGACTGTGTTCATATAGTGCTCAGAATAAGGGAGTGGACAATGTTATGTACTCCGTCTTGGTCAGATGGTATCTGGAGTACTGTGTTCAGATCTGGGTGTCATACTGAGAAACTGGAGTTTGTCCAGAGGAAGGTGATCAGGGTGGTGACAGGACTTGAAATTATTTTATAGGAAGATAGGTTAAGGTAACAGGGAATATTTGGTTTAGAGGAAAGAAGACTTAGGGCAAAGGTTCTTAACCTAGGGTCCATGAATTTGTTTTAAAAATATTTTGACAACTATTTCAATATAACTGGGTTTATAATGCTTGGTAATACTATGTGTTTTATTTTATGCATTTAAAAATATTATTCTGAAAGGGGGTCCATAAGCTTCACTAGACCAGAGGAGTCCACAACATTAAAAAAAAGGTTAAGAACCTCTGACCTGGGGGAAAGAGGATTGCCCTTTTCAAATAGTTACATTGAAGGGCTGTCATGAGTAATTGTAAATAGACTTCTGCTTGGGATTAGAAGGTATAAATAGGACCTACTGATGGAAGTTATAAATTAGAGCTAAATAATATTAAGAACTTCCTAAAAGTTAGGGCTATCCAAAACTAAAATGGTCTGCCAGGAGAAGTATTAAGTTCTCTGTCATTAGAGGTCTTTCAGTGTTAACTAGGCAACCATGTGAGAGCCAATTAATGTTCCAGTTAAGGGTTATATTTAGATGATCTCTAAAATGCCTTTTAACTCTAAGATTTTGCTCATTCAAAGGCAGATCATCTCCCTAATTTAACCCTACTTCCTAACCCAACTAGGATCATGAAAAATATAGAAACTTAAAAATATACCATGAAATGGAGAAGGTTGAAAAGCATTATTTTAATGTGACTTATAGTTGAAAAGTCAACACGCATTTGTTAAGTGCTTTCCATGTGAACTATGCTAAGCATTGGATTTACAAAGAGTAAAAACATAGTTTCAAAATTCAAGGAACTCACATTTTAAACTGAAGAGACAACAAGTAAATACCCATGTACATACAAGATATATACAGTGTAAATGAAAGACAATCTCAGAGGGAAGGCACTAGCAGCGGAGGGGACTGGGAAAAGGTTATGGAGAAGGCAGGATTTGAGTTAAATCTTGAAGGAAGCCACAGAAGTCAGGAGGTAGAGGTGAAGAAGAGGAAGGGCATTCCAAAGATGGAGGACAGCTAGTGAAGAGACATAGAATGTTGTGTATAAGAAATAGTGGGCGAGCTAGTATAGCTGGATTGTAGGCTAAGTAGAAGGGAATAAACTGAAAGGATTAGAAAGGCAGGAAAGGCCCACCTGAGTTATAAAAAGCTTTAAATGTCAAACAGAGCATTTTATATTTGATCCTAGAGGCAACAGTTAGCCCCTGGAGTTCAATGAGGGGGACGTATGTGACAAAGTCAGGCTTATGCTTTAGGAAAATCACTTTGGCAGCTGAGTGGAGGATGTATTGGAGTGGGAAGAGACTTTAGGCAGGGAGACCCACCAGAAGGGTATGGCAATAGTTTAGGCATGAGATAATGAGTTTTTTAAATATTTACAAAATATTCTAAAGTTTTTACAAAGCATATAACAAACAAATATAAGAACATTTGCAAGAAATTCTAATAGGACTAAGTTTATACTTTTAAAAATTCTTCATGCTACATTTAAGTAAATGCACTTACTGCTGCCCCTGCTGGCGTATGTATATGAACAATACACTTAATATCAGGTCGAGCAGCATAGATAGCAGAGTGCAATGTAAAACCAGCTTGATTCACTCCTAGATTGGTGCTTCCACGATCAACGACATCTCCTTGAAGGTTGATTTTAACCTTAAAATTATATACAAAAAAAAAAAATTTAAAGATATACCAAAATTTAATTTTTCTATGATTATAACTTTCAATTTCAACAATTTCAACAACAATTTCAATGGAGAGTTATCACTCCAAATTTGGTTAATTACACAAAATACAATCGGTATCTTTTCCCTTAGTTTTCTAGGACAAGTTTAACAGATTTGTGAAATATTTAACTACTAAGATGATTTGCATACATATATGGTATATATAAAAATATTATCACTCACCAAACTGGATGCTGTCACTTCACTATAAAGAAGTCCAAAAGGTACAATGAGAAAGTGTTCTTGCTCAGAATTTACTCTTGCCTGGGGAAAAAAATATTAAAACCAGTTCAAAATTCCACTAAAAATAACATTTATTATGCTTCTTTTATAGAAAGAACATACAATAAAGTTCTTAGCTTACAGGGTATATATGTTTCAGTGACCTGTGCGCAGAATATCTCAGATAAATTCCTTTAGATTTTTACAGTTCTTTATACTTTCTAAATGAAAAGTGGGAGAAGTACATTTTGTAGCAGATCTGGGGCTGATTAACTGGTATGTCCAAGGAGGTGTGGAAAAGGGAAATTATGCTGCTGGCTTCTCTCTCTCTCTCTCTTTCTCTCTCTCTCTCTCTCTCTCTCTCTCTTAAAGGAACTTTCAAGGAGGGGAGGAAGGAATGAGGATTTGAAATAAGATGCATGAGTACATAAGAGAAATAGAAATGGCAGGCAGAGCTGGAGGGGAGGTAAGAGAAGGCAGGTTCTGGGTGGTGGAGATTAAGTCTTTTTACACTGCTTTGTCTCATTCCTCTAGTTAAGAGTTGGAACAGTAGCTGATCAAGTAAAACATGCTGCGTCTGCAGGAAATGCCATGCTGAGACTTTTGAGTAGCTTAAAAGCAGCATATGCTGAACATGAATGACCTCAGGACCCTGTACAGGCAGAACTGGATCAAGGCCCAGATGAGGGATACAAGTTGGGTGAGGTAATAGATCATATTCAGGTACAGGTTGGGCTATGTGGCCACTGAGGTACTAACTCTGAAGTTCTACAATTCTGTAAGTGATGTTTTCTAAAAAGAAGAAACAATTTCAGCCCAGCCTATTTATAGCTTACTAAATTCTTGCTAATAAATTACAGTTATCTCTTCCATATCATGTGGGGTAGGGGCGTTGCCCCTGTGATCTGGAAAATCTGCGTAAAATTTTTTAGCCCTCCCTTCGTACCAGAGAAGAAGTCTGTTGACATTATACGATACTATACATATATTTTATGCATTTCCAAGTTTCTAAACTTTTCTGTGTTGTCTGTTGACCTTCTCATGTCGTCTGCAGCTTCCACAAAACTCCCCAAAACCTCTCATTTAATTTCTTATGCCAACCCTCAATATATGGAAACCATGATGGGGAAAGTTGCTGTGTAGAAGACCTAACTGTATTTGGTCACTCCACAAGATGAGGTTCAATTTTACCCTCCTGCACCCTCTGGTGGCTACCAAAAGCAACATCAAGAGTAAAGACATCAAATTGTCCTGAGGTGTCAGAATTCAAAGAATTTGAGTTGGAAAACATCTAGTCCGACCCTTGCCTCTAAAACATCCCCACTACTTCCACTTAAAGATCACCAGTGATAGGCAACTTATAGCCTCCCAAGTCAGCCAACCACTTTTAGACAGCTCTACCTATTTGGAAATAATTAAAACCAAGTAATTTCTTTTGATAGGTTATGCAGAATTTTAGAAACCAAAAACCTGTAGAAGATTAACAATTACAAAACTCTATATTATAATTGTAATAAAATTATATATTATGAGGCAATCCTCTATTTTGTTGTATAGTCAACACATCTATTTCATACTAAAACACCAATTCATATATATAGTTGCCAATCCTGCTAATCTTATTTCCACCAAATCTCTCACATTTGTTCCCTTTTATCCACTCAAGTGCCCATTATCCTATAGCTTCCCAATTGTTCTCCCTGTTTCCCCTTTCTCCCCTCTCTAGCATATTCTCTAAATAGCTAACAAATGTATACAACTAAGACACAGGTCAGACCATGGCAATCCCCTGCTCAATAATCTTCAGAGTGTTCCTATTGCCCCTAGCATAAGAAAGAAACTCTTCTCTCAGCTTGGCATTTAAAACCCTCTATTATCTAGTTTCCACCTAGCTTTCCAGATTCATTTCATATTGTGCCTCTTGATGCTCCCTAAATTCAAGCCTATCTGGAATGGCAGGAGCAATTGACTTCTTTGGATCTCTGTGACTTTGTAGAAGCTGTTCCCCATATCTCTTAGAATACCTAGCTTCCCTCAAGTCACAGCTCAGGAACCACCACTTACAGGAGTTATTAGCCTGACATCCACAGATCCCTAGATTTCAGGGCTTTCATGAACTTGAATGGGAAAAAAAAACAAACTATTTTCTGTAACCTTTGGGTTCCTTTGTAATCCTATTTTATGGATTTATAAACATCATTCTGAGGAGTCCATAGTCATTACACTACCAAAGGAGTCCACCACAAAAATTAAATCAAGAACTCTTGACCTAAAGGAAGGTTTCTTGATCTGCTCAGGGGTTAGTGCTCTTTTCCTACTTAAATTATTTTGTATTATTCTTATCTGTGCACCTGAAGTATCCTTAAAGTAGAATATAAGTCCCCTAAGAACAGGGCCTTGTTTGTTTTTGTCTTTGTATTTCCCAATGCCTAACACAATTTAGATAGTGGGCACTTAATAAATAGTGGTTGAATTTATTATAGACTATTCTTTGATATAATTGAAAGTCTTCCTAAAGGTCCGAATGAATTACATTACTTCCTCTTAATTTGCTAAAGTTGGAGTAACAAATAAAATCAAAGAATGTGAGGTCTTCCAGGTCTAGTTAACCCTATGATGGACTTGAGACATTTTTCCTAGAATATCTATCTCTTCTAAATGAACATTTATGACAGAGAGTTCACTACTTCCTTAAAAAAAAAAGGCCTCTCATTGTCAGATCTACTTGTTAGAAAGTTTGCTCTTGTTCTGTACTGAAATCTGCCTCCTTATAATGCCTATCGTTACTGAACAGCAGAGAATAAGTCTGTCCTAACAGAAAGATACTAAGATGGGTTTAATGAGTCTTCTATATGATCGTAACTTGCAAAAGGCAGGTATTCAAATATTTGTGACACTGAATTGAATGACAAATAGTCAAATAACTGAGACTTGTCAAATTTCCCCTTCTAGTCTTACTCTTCTCCAAATGAAACACACCCAGTTGTTTCAGTCATTAATCTACCATGACTTGCTCTTTATGAAACAATGCACATTATAACCCAGCATTCTGTTTTCATCTAGCTGTTTCCAAAATAAATAAGATGTTTTCTGGGCATTTTTTAAAATACAAAAGTCACCATTACCCTTACACCTTCTACTTTTTGTCCATCCTTGTTCTTTTTATTTATTTATTAATTTAATTTGGTTAGGCAATGGGGTTACGTGACTTGCCCAGGGTCACACAGCTAGTGTTACGTGTCTGAGGCCAGATTTGAACTCAGGTCCTCCTGAATCCAAGGCCGGTGCTCTATCCAGTGAGCCACCTAGCTGCCACTCCTCCTTGTTCTTTTTAAAATGTAAAACAAAATTAGACAATAGTCCTAATTTCTTCTCTTAATTAAAAAAAATATTCTAAGCATGTATTTTTTGAGTACTTTGTTGGTTGCGCAATGAGGGTGAAGTCAGACATTTATTCTTTTTTTGTTTTTTTGTTTTTTTTTAAGGCAATTTGGGTTAAGTACTTGCCCAGGGTCACACAGCTAGTAAGTGTCAAGTATTTGGTCTGAGGCCACATTTGAACTCAGGTCCTCTTGACTTCAGGGCTGGTGCTCTATCCATTGTGCCACCTACCTGCCCCGTCAGACATTTATTCTTAAAAAAAAAAAAAATGAAATGATTGAAGTGGACTTTCTCTCTTCAAATGGATCTCTTTACCACTATCCTATTTTACCTTTGTTATGTGTCTTACTTCTCACAATCCCATTATATTGCAATCTTCTTAAGGACAGAGATCTGTGCTGTTTTTCAACTTCATATCCCTTTAGTCTAGTTAAGCATAAGAAATTATATCTGAAGGAAAGGTAATTTATCTAATAAAAGTCAGCAATAGACACTAAAGAGACTTAGAAATAAGTTAAATTCATAAGAGTAACTTTCTTCTTAGACAAAATAGTCCTAACCTCCCACATTTCAATGGATCTGTGATCTCAAAAATGTGGGCATTTTCAATTCAACAATGCATATCACAATCTATACATGCCAGCTCATTCAATAACTCTGCAATATCTTTCCCCCTTAACTTCAACACAGAAAAGTCCACCCAATAATGGGGAATGCTAGGGGTATTTCTTATGTTCTCTTAACCTTTCAAAGATACAAGTGAGCATGTGGGATGTCAGTCAGGTAATCCCCCTGCTCTTTTTTGTGACTAGAAGTACTAGCCCATCTCCATCTGGTCCCTAACCCCAATGAAATAAAAAACAAATTTAACTGATTCAAAGTTTCTTCTGTGTCTACTTCCTACTGCTTCTAGCTAATGCTTTCATTAAAATAGCAGTTTAATGTAAATGTGGATTTTTGTCCAAATCTACTTCCAAATTTAATAGAATAGATAAGAAAACCTAAGAAAAGGATAAATTGAATAAAAAAATGATGGAAGCTATACTGGTGCCGATAGGTTTTTGGATTCACTGGCAACAACTTAGCAGAACTAGCTGCATGACTTGATATTCCATGGTCAGTTGACAAAGAGGTTAATTGTGAGAGGTTTAATCAGTCTTTGATTAAAGAGATGGTGCTTTGCACTTTGTACTAAATGATCCCTAAGCTCCTTAGAATGAAAGGAAATTAGGAGTCAGAAGCAATGTATAAAGAAGCCACCATAGACTTTAAAGTTAGTTTATTTTCACACTAACAGAACAAAATAAATACCAGTGAGTCCATGTCTGGGTACTTGAATCAGCCACTATTCTTGATAACCTAATCTTTTCCCCTAGATGCTATGGATGATAGGGGATAGAATTGCTTCTAAATCAATAGTTCTTCAATTTTCTAAACCAAAGAGATGAAGCTTGTTTGTACATAGCTGTATGCAAGTTGTCTCATTAGACTGTGAGCTCCTTGAGGGCAGGGATTTTTTTTTTTTGTAAATACTATTTTATTTTTTTCCAATTATATGTCAAGACAGTTTTCAACATTTATTTTTTTAAGATTTTGTATCCCAAAATTTTCTCCCTCCTTCCCTCCTCTACCCCTTCCCCAAGATGTCAAGTAATAGGGATTGTCTTTTGCCTCCTTCTGTATTCCCAGTGCTGAGCACAGTGCCTGACACAGGCACTTAATAAATATTTACTGAGTGACAGAGTTAAAGAAAAGGATGCTCGGAATGGTAGCAAATTTCCTATCTGTCTGAGTAGGGGCAAGATGATCGCTTATTGGAGATGTTTTACAGGAAGTTTGTACTTTAGGTGGAGACTGAACGAGACCTCTAAAGTCTCTTCCCTATCTGAGCTTCTATGATTGGATTGAATAACATTAATAATGATAACTTTAAAATGTACTACTAACCAATGACTATGAGGTTACTAGTACAAGTGCTACTTACTCAGATACAAACAGTATTGCACAATGATTTAGAAAACCAGTAGGTAGTGTTCATTATTTTGTTAAACATTTCCCAGTTACAGTTTAATCTGGTTCAGGCTACTTAGGAATTGGGTTGAGAGCTTGGGTTGGTAGTTTAAAACCTCTGCTTTACACTTTTCAGAAATGAAGAAACTCAGAAAAGTGAAATAGCTTCCCCATGGTCAGACATTCAGTGTCAGAGCCAGGACTGAAGGCCACGGGCTTCTTGACTCCACGTTTGGTACTTTTCCATTAGGCTATGCTATCTCTTATTTTTCTTCAACAGTGTTTCCACTGAAGGTACTTCTATTTGCTACCAAGAAGGTTCAGTACATAATACAAAGTCATCAAAATGATAAAAAAAAAAGAGGGGGAACATAGAGAAAGGGACCAGATAGTGTAGCCCCTGGTAGAGGCAACACCAAGTGCCAGAAGCCAAATTCCACAGCAGCTCTGCACAGACACAAGCACTAGTGCTTTTGGAGAACTAACACTAACAGAGTCTGGCACAAAGGAAAGCTCAGGTTTAAATGGTCTAGAGCTAAAGATAATAAGGCAGTCTCCAACTAAAAGGAATTTGTATCAGTCACTAATGGTGATTGGTTCTTTCACTCATACTTCCCTGATTCTCCATCAGTAATGACTTACCCCTTATGAACTCACACCCAACTTTGTTTCCTGCTTCTCTAATGTACTTACCATCTATTAAAACTTAAAATTGCACTAAGACTTTTGGGACATCCTGTATATTAGTAATCTGTGTATGTACCTTATCCCAAAAGAGTGTAAATTCTAAGAAGGCAAGGTCTCTATCTTATCTGAATTTTGTGAGCCTAACACACAATAAGAAGTTAATAAATGTTTGTTGAATCAGAAGCAGAATTCAAAGACAAATACTTCTAAAATACATTCTTTCCTTACAGAGGTTCTGTAGTTTATTTTTCCTTTATCTCCTATTCCTTTTTTCCCCCAAAGACAAAAAAATTATTTTTTAAAACCTAATGCCAGTCTACAGATTCTTTTTGTCTGCTGGTTCATTATTACTTTGGTAAAGTGCTGACCTTGGAATCAGGAAGATGTGGTTTCAAGTTTGTCTCTGACACTTACCAGTTATGCGACTGCAGACAAGTTACAAAGTTTCTTAGAACCCTCAGGCAACTCTCTAGGACTTTAAGTTACAGAAGCATGGCCATGTACACTGGCAGAAGGAATTTTCACATTGAGAAATCATAGGTCTCTAATATTCAATCAAAAAGGTTGCATATAATAAAGTTAAGAATTCAGTTATGCTTTGGTTTTTCCCTAGTTCTAAGCCAAACCAATGAAAAGTGAAATTTTAAAATGTTTATTGTCTAACAAAGGACTTGAATTTTTTTAAATGTTACACAGAATAAGGAGGTCTATTGGCACGTAATATTTGAAAAGTCCACAAAAAGTACATTCCTGCCATTAAAATAATAGATTATAATTCTTATTATAGCTGTAACGTTTTCACAACACCGCTGTTTTGGAGGACCAATTAGCATTAAAGCCTACATACATGGAACAGGTACTTTTTAAAAAACAATACAGATGACAGTAATCATTCCTGCTATTACAATGAAGGAAGCTGACACAAGTGGTGGAGTAAATGGTCCCACTGTCATATCTACAAGGTATGGAGCTGGGGATATGGGTATCTTTCTTTAAAATTATAGTGACTGATGGATTTCATTTGAACTGAGGAATAAGCAGACTTAACAAATAAAAACCTACATTCTTAAAAAAATGGGCTTTTAAACAAAAATAATTTAAGCAATTATCTGTAGAACAATAGACACTCATCTTAATATGTAGGGTACTTCAAACTTTGAAAAGCTGCTTTTCATTATGATATTTTGAAGCAGTGTCTTTTAAGACCCAATTCAAACCAAATTGACTAAAGTTCTATTTGTTCTATTCTATACAACCGGAAGGGCAGCTACATGGTACAGTGGATAAAGGACCTGGCCTGGTGCCAGGAAAACTCCTCTGCCTGTCCTTTAAATGACAAACTTATTAGTTTTGTGACCCAGAGCAAGTCACTTAACCTGGCTTCCCTCAGTTTCCTCATCTATAAAATAAACTGGAGGAAATGGCAAACCACTCCAATATCTTTGCTGAGAAAACTCCAAATGGGGTCACAAGAAATCATGCATGACTGAACAACAACACAACCAAAAAGGTGGATCCTTTTGCCACTTACTGTAACTCAGACTTCATTTTCTTTAAAATGGAAGGTAAGGTGGGGCCAAAGATAGAAGAAATACCATGTTCTGTACGACAATCATTTAGTAACTACCTCATTTAATACTTACTGTTATATGGTTGTAAATAAGCTGAGACCACCCAAAAAGATCTGCTAATCTGTAAAAAGCTGCCAATTTACATCGTAATAATTTCTCTCCTTTATCATATGCAATTGAATCAGATCCCCTAAGATCATTCACTGGTGTCACCATGCCAAGACCTGAAATGACAAGAAATAAAAGGAAAAGATTTAATATTTATGCTCAAATTCAAATAACTACACTTTTCATTTTACAAAAGCAGTATAAATATAGTATGTCACAACAAACTTGCAATACATGTAATATTATAATTACTATCTTAATTTTTATAAATGAGAAAATTGGGGCTTACAAGGATTAATAAAATTCAATACCATTCCAAAAGCATTTATTAAGTGCCTACAATATGCAAGGTACTATGTTGAGTGCTGAGATAACAAAAACAAAATAAAAAAATCATCCCTTAAAGAGCTTACTTTCTATGGAGGAGTAAAGGGAGAAGAATACAGTATGTAAACGATTATGTGCGGAATTAGGAAACACTTCCTATTGAATTATAGAATCACAGATTTAGAGCTGGAAGATAACTCAGAAGTCATCTAGTTCAACCCTCTCATTTTACAGAGGACACACCTGAGATGAATTTTGAAGGAAGCGAGTATTCAAAAAGGTAGAGGCGAGAAGAAAATGCACCCCAGTCATATTAGATAGCCTGGGCAAAGTCATGAAGGTATAAGTTGTTGCTTGTTGTTCAGTCTTTTTTCAGTGTGTCCAAATCTTCATGGCCTTACTTGAGGTTTTCTTGGTAAAGACACTGGAGTGGTTTGCCATTTCCATCTCTAACTCATTTTACAGATGAGGAAACCGAGGCAAACAGGATTAAATGACTTGCCCAGGGTCACAAAGCTAATAAGTGTCTGGGTCCAGAGTTTAACTCACGCTTCCCGACTCCAGGTCCGGTACTCTATCCACTGTACCACCAAAGGGATAAGATTGAATGCCAAATTCAGAAAACAAGCAGGCTAGTATGATTTTGTAAACTGCATGGAAAAAAAGTAATGTGAAATAAGACTGGAAAAGTGGGATGGAGAAAGAACGTGAAAGGTTTTAAATGACAAACTGAAGTGTTTGAATTTTACACTTAGGAAAAAATAGGAAGCCACTGAAGATTCTGAAACAGGTTTTATGGCTATACCAAGTCTGACACCTCTAGTTTAGAGGATGGGTAAAGAGAGGAGGGAATAGAAAATGGGAGTTCATTAGAAGGCTAATGCCTACTGCAATAGACCAGGTAAGAGATAAGTACCTGAAATAGGATGATGGATATAGGAGGGTATAAGAGATATTATGGAGGTAGAAATGACAAAAGTTAGGCAACTGACTGGATATGGAGTTTAAGAGTAGAAAAAAATCAAAGAAAATGCTCAAGTTAAGCAGACTTGCCCAAAGTAAATAAATGGTAGTGTAGAGAAGTGAGCACAGGCCTCCAGTCCAATCAATATTCTTTCCGTATTACCATACTGGTTGTTATTAAACTGAATTACAACTATTGTTCTAATGCTAATATAATGATTCGTTACTAAATTGGAAGCAAACTACTTTACTTCTTCTCTCCCCTTCACCCTACAACTTAAAAGATAAAATGGCATAATGGTAGTATGCTTGGAGTCAGGAAGACCTGAGTTCAAATAATACCCCTGACACTAGCTGTGTAATAATGGGCAAATCACTTAATTTCTTGGTCCTTCAAGCAATTCTTAAAAACCATAAATTATAGCTGAGTCGCCATCTGCATAGGGGTAGGAATCAATACTTTTGTATTATAAATCTAGTAACAAAAGGAATAGGACTGGACCCGTGACTTCCCTGGTATGAGGAGATCCAAGGTAAAGAAACTCCTTTATCAATATGGAGTACAACAGTTGCATAGGCACTGTGCCTTGCCCAGGGTCACAGAGCCAGTATGTTGTCAAATCCTCATTTGTGACTTGAACCCAGGTCTGTTCTCTATTTACTAAGCCATTCGAATTGCTTGTCTAGCAACAAAAAACATTTTTAAAAAAATAGAAAATTAAACTATGACCTTCATTATTTGCTTTTTGTTTTTTTTAATGGGTATATTAACTTAAAAAAACCCATTCTATAGGCTTTGCTGTCCCTTTCTAAACTCTTTTATGTGTTAAAATTTTGTTGCTGCTATTACATAGTTGTAGTCAGTGTATTTAGTTCTAATTCTGATTTCTTCACTTTGCAGCTTTTCATATTTGTAGCTTCTGATGGTACAAAACATAGCCAGACACCACAATTTATTCATCCATTTTCCAACCATGAACACACGCGCTGCTATTTTGCTACTCCAAATAAAGCTCACACTTAAATTCTTATACTCATCCAGAACAAAGATTAAGTTCAGAGACTTTTGAGGAAACAGATCGCTTCCAGTTATAATCAAATATCAATAATGTAAGATAGAAAGACTAGTTAGAATCACTGCTGCTTGTGGATAATATAAATCCATCTGCTATGCCCTGCAAAGTAACGAGTTTTTTTTTTTCCCTCCTAAGGTGAAAATGCTTTTAAGGGCTAAATTTTTAGCGCTCAAATTAAGTGAAATTATATCTACAAATTGAAATAATTTGGTTCATAATCTTTTTTTGGAAGGGGAAGGGGGAAGCAGTTGAGGTTAAGCGATTTGCCAAGTGTCACACAGCTATTCAGTGTCTGAGGCAGAATTTGAATTCAGGTCCTCCTGACTACAGGGTCCGTGCTGTAATAACTGCCTTAGTCACAATAGGTATCAAAAGTTCATGTCTGGACTAGCTATGTGACTCTGGGCAAGTCACTTAACCCCAACTGCCTCACCAAAAAACAAAACAAAACAAAACAAAATAAAGTTCATGTCCGGGAGCTTTATATACCTTATTCATATGAAAGCCTCTCAGACCCTCAGTCAGAGCCTATGATCTTTTAAATGAAAGACTATAGAGTACTTGACTGTGGATGACCAGAATATTTATTGAAATGAACACAAATATTACAAACAAATCTAGTACTCAAAATATCTGACATCAAATCTATAATACCTCAAAAGCAGCCAAGTATAAGGTGGAGAAGAGTAAGCAAACATACTAGCAATATGAAGAAGTAACAGGTAGATGGGTTAAAAACCATTCTGGCCCCAAAATATTTCCACAACTCAAAAACTATCAATTATGCCTTCTGCATCTAGTTTACAATCCCCAGGGTCGATGACTTCCTTTGATAAGATCAAAGCTTGCAGTTTGTGCACTAACAGTTCAGGCAAGAATCTGTGGAAAATGGATTCTCAAAAGGATACATTGTCAGGCTTGAATCAACTTAAGAGATAATAGGATGTAATGGAAAAAGCAATGTATTTGGAGTCAAGAGGCCTGGGTTCAAATCCTACAGTTTACACTTGCAGCTTTACAACTAAACACCAAAACTCTCTAAGATTCAGTTTTTCTATCAGCACAATGGAACAATAACTACACAAAGCTGTTGTGAGGAAAATGCTTTGTAAACTTTGGGCATTACTATTATCTTATGATTGGCAAGAATGAAAAGGGCCAGATTCTGGATGGCCAAAGTATTTAATGAAATTGACACAAGTTAAGTTTGGAGGTACTGAATCAGGTTTATATGGCCACAACTATAATAGGGTTACTTTTATGAGTTATAATTTCATAGAATACTCACAGAAATGTTTACATTCATGATTCTCAATAGGCTTTCAATATCTGTAAAAAATGTTAATGCAATTCATGTCTGCAGAGCTTGGTAAAAAACAGCCAGCAATAATATCTACTATTTTTCTGGACCTCAGGGACCATGAACTCTACTATGTCTCACTGACTATTTTTTCTCAGCTGTAGCTGCATTTGTCATTTTCTTTTATTTGTTTTATTTATTTGTCTGTTTGTTTTTTTGTTTAGAGTTTTCAACATTCACTTTTATAAGATTTTGAGTTCTACATTTTCTCCCTCCTTCCTCTCTTCCCCTCCCCAAGACAGCATGTATTCTGACATGGGCTATACATGTATGATCATATTAAACGTATTTCCATATTAGTTATGTTGTGACAGAAGAATTAGAACAAAAGAGAAAAACTATGAGAAAGATGAAAAAAAAACAGAGAAAATAGTATGCTTCGATTTGCATTCAGACTCCATAGTTCTTTTTCTGGATGTGGACAGTATTTTCCATCATGAGGCTTCTGGAACTCTTAGATCACTGCATTACTGAGAAGAACTAAGTCTATTAGAGTTGGTCATCTCACAACATGGCTGTTACTGTTCACAATGTTCTCCTGGTTCTGCTCTTCACTCAGCATCAGTTCATGTAAGTCCAGGTTTTTCTGAAATCTGTCTGCTCATCATTTCTTATGGAACAATAATATTCCATTACATTCATATACCACAACTTGTGTGCCATTCCGCAATTGATGGATATTGCCTCAGTTTCCAATTCTTGGCCACCACAAAAAGAGCTGTTATAAATATTTTTGTACATGTGGGTCTTTTTCCCTTTTTTATGATCTCTTTGAGATACAGACCTAGTAATGAATGCTATTGCTGGATCAGCTTGATAGCCCTTTGGGCATAATTCCAAATTGCTCCTCAGAATGGCTGGATCAGTTCACAACTCTACCAGCAATGCACTAGTGTTCCAATTTTCCCACATCTTCTCCAACATTCATCATTTTCCTGTTTTGTCATGTTAGTCAATCTGATGAGTGTGATGTGGTACCTCAGAGTTGTTTTAATTTGCATTTCCTAATCAATAGTGATTTAGAGCACTGCATTTGTCATTTTCAACCCATATATAGTCAATGAGTTTTTATCTTTAGGGAGCCTGTTCCTGAAGCATCACTGATGTGGAAGGGAAAGGAGAGAGTTTGATGCATACCGTGATGCTCTTACCAGCTGATACATCAGAATAAGAGGTCTAAAGATCACTTTGATAAGCATGAACTTTCAAGGAGCAAGACTGTCAAAATCATTTTTCACTAGCATACATGGTAACATGCTTCTGATTTTTTTGTGATGATGGCCCCGCCTTCCACTTCTGTCATACCCACTTGGACTTTTGAGGTACTCAAGAAACATGGTTTTCAGGTTATACTTCTGAACTATATTGCTGGACTCTGCCATCAGGTCTAGTTAATGAATCTCTCAATCACCAGTACATGTGTTGACCCTGGTCAACCCCAACCCCCAGAGATCAGATAACATAAATAATTGTACGTTATTTTTAGTTAGGAGATCCTGGCAATCATGAATTGATTGATTTACATTCATGAGGAATGGCCAAGATTTTTCTAAAAGTGTCTTGATGGTGCTGGTAAATTTTAGCATTCATTTCCGTTTGTCTCCTTTTAGGTACTTCCTTTTGCTTTTGATGCCTTTCCTAGTATAGAAGAGGCATTATTAAACTACAAGTTTTTCTTTTGTCTCTGAAATAGTAGGCTATATAGAAATTAAAAACCTTTTTTGCTCCAACCTCTATTTACATGCTATATTCACTGAAATTCATTAAGAATTATATTAAGAGGGGAAGCTAGGTGGCACAGTGGATAGAGAACTGGCCCTGGAGTCAGGAGGACCTGAGTTCAAGTGCAGCCTCAGATACATAACACTCACTAGTTGTGTGACCCTGGGCAAGTCACTTAACCACAACTGCCTCACCAAAAAAAAAAAAAATTATATTAAGATGTGCCCATTTCAAAACTATGGTATGCCATTTGGTTTCAAGAAGATGAACTGAATCAGACATTAAAATTAAACCTCTATAAATTTATAGTGTAATGTTATATCAACTGTTTCAAAAGTTACAATAGAACATGGAAACACAAAATGTAAGGGAATTCAGATGAAACAGATATAAGAAACTAGCTATTGTTCATTTAAATATGCCACATAAGATCAGACAAGAACCAAGCTGCATCATGGGAAGGGTCAGTTAATTCTTTTTTTTTTTTTCCAGCCAAAGATAAGGTTTATTAGAACATCCGTCATATTGCGCAGACTCTTAAGGAATCTGAACATTAGTGAGCTATTGGCTAGATTATAAGAATCTGAGCATCTTAATGGAGACAAGATGGACCTTATATAGGGAAAGACTATGAGAGGGATCTGGTAGTGGCTAAGTAGTGTATGAGGTAACAGAACTCTAGGGACCTGGACCAAGTGGCCAAGGGAGAATGGAGCTTAGATAGGATTAAGGGTGGGAAGTGGCCTGGGGCTTTCGGGAGGTAAAACAATGGAGGGCTAGACTAGATTAAGGGTAACAGAATTGGGAGATTGGGCAAAGCCACAATGAAAGGTCAGTTGATGGGATTTTAGCCTCAGGTGAACACCAGAGATTTAGCCATGGGGGAAAGTCCAAGATTTTTCCTTTTTAGGGTCTAGATCCTATACTCATCATTCCCCCCTCAAACAAATGGAACCCAAATTCTTTTGGGGTAAGGAGGGAAGGACTAGGCTTCTGAAACTGCTTCCTGCTGGCAAGGGGCGTAGAGTGTCCCTGCCTCGAGGGGGTCCCACAGAGGAGGTTGACCAGAACCAAGCACAGGCTGCATCCAGGGAACGATGGGGGGACATTAGCTGGTACCCGCTGTTTACTACCAAATGTAGGTAAATGGCCTGTAGTCTGGAAGACACAAATCTGACAGAAAAGACTGCAGGGCCCAGATATGAAGGATAAAACATCATTAGCTCTGTTTAGATTCAGATAATTCAATTTTTCAACTATGCAGTATCAAATCCACCTCATAGCCAGACGTAGGAATAGTCAGGTAGGTAACATTCCTTTTCAAAGGAACATAATGGGGAAACTGAGCCAGGAGGATCCCATCTTAGACTGAGGCTAAAATTATTCTCTCAGCTTTTCCCAATGCGGGTCAGTTAATTCTAAAAAATACTCTGAAATCCATTTTACTATCTCGGAAAAGATTAAGCTCAACTAGAGTAGCACCCCAATGATCATGCCCAAATAACTAATGTTTTCCTGCCTGGTTGGTTGAGTAAAAGCATGTTAGTCAACCTGATGTTTAATTTGGCAAGCAGACTTTTTATGGATTTCTTTTAATTCTGAAGATGCTTTTGAAAAGTCACAAATTACATGTTAAAAAAAACAATCTTTTCCTTGGGAAAAGAGATGCTAATTTCCTCATAAAAAAGACCTTTCAAAACAATGAAGAGTCAAGAATTTATTTCAACATATTTAACATAATTAACTGGTTCCACAAAAGAAGATGGTAGGTAAAATGTTATAATGGGACCTAAGAGTTATTGACACTTCAGTTCTAACGCTAGCTGGTAGTATTGTTAATCAAATACAATTTCATTTAGGATAAGAGGGGACAAACCCAACAACATTATGGCTGAGTTTCATGATATTGACGGGAGGTTTAATTAGAATGTGTTGCTCACATTTTTTTGACCAGGACAATGTTATATGTGACATAACTGTATTTTACTGAAAAAAATATTTCTTATGTACTTCTGGTTTGGGACAAAGCACTAGACTTAAGAATAAGAAAATCAAAGTTTAAAGATGGGTACATTCCTCTTTCTAGCTATGTGACTGGCAATTCATTTCATCTCTCTAGGGCTGATTTCTCATTTATAAAATTAGGGAGTTAGAATTGATACCTTTTAAGGTCTTTTTCAGTTCTCAAATTTTATGACCCTAAACTACCTTGTTGACATCTTAAAATATCTATATATTAAAGAAAGTAGGTAGTAGTTCTACTTACATTTCTTTTCATTTCATATGAGAAATTAATAAGTTGATGAGCATGTATTAAATGACTATGTGCCAGATACCATGCAGCATATTGGGGATATAAAGACAAAAACAAAATAGTCTTTGTTTTAAAGGAATCTGCATTGTATCAGAGAAAGATTTTGGAAACTGTACACAAGACATTATATAAAATTTACACAAAAAATGGTCATCTACTCACTCATGTTCAATGCAGCCATCCCTCCCTGTGGTGCTGCTGGATAAACATTAGGTACATTTGTGGTCATGAAATCTGCAATCTGTTGTAATGCCAATAGGCCTGTGGGATTCTTCCCTTTCTTAAACTGTTCCTGGATCATCGATTCCAATTCTTCGCAAAAAGCCTAAAAAGAAGTCAAAGAATATTTTAATAGTTAAAAGTTGAAGGAAAATGATTATTTTAGTTTAATGATGTTTAATGCAATTTTTCTATCTGTATTATTAAAGAGATCTTTGCCTCATTCATCCAAACAGCATTTCAATCATTTCTCTTTGTTCTCTCTATAAAGAAATAAGTAATTCCTTACTGTTTGATTAATTAATTTTGATTAATCCCTCAACAGTGTATAACTCTGACCCTTTCTCTGTTGTTCAAAACTTCAGTATGATTCTCAATTCCTCACCAGCTCCACCCCAAACATATCTAATCATTTGCCCAATCTTGTTCACACTATGTCTACATATCTAATCTGTTCCCTTTTCTCTACTAACACAGTTACCACCCTAGTTTAGGCTCTCATTACCTCTCATTTATACTATTCTAATAGCTTCTCAATCAGTGTCCCTGTCCCTAGTATCTCTTTTCTCTAAACCAAAGAGCCACCAAAGTAATATTCCTAAAGCCCAAGTATGACTATATCTCTTACCTATTCAATAAACTCCAGTGGCTCTCTACTTACTCAAGGATAAAATATTCTTTCATTTTTATCTTATCCTTTTAAAATGTTTATTTTTATATGTTTTACAATATAATAATTATTAGTACAACAGAACTATGATTTATAAATAAGTAAATATACATAATTGGGAGTGTAGGCTCAAAATTTTTTTTAACATACCCTCTTCAGAGTGTTAAAGAAAAAGTTTGGAGACTATTAGCCAAGATTATGATATGCAATTGGATGGGCAGCCCACTGAATTAGCCCATCAATACACATATCTCAGACAAATACTTCTGCAAGATAATTATATAAGTTCAGAACTGTAAAGTAAAATGAGAATGGGCTGGATTGCATTTGTGACTTTAGTAAAGACCTCATCAAGAACATAAATGACTGCAAAAGGAGTTGAGCAGGTCATGTAGCAAAAGGGAGGGAAAAGAGTGTGGGCAGTCTGGGTGCTGCATTGGTATTTAGGCAATATTAACAGATCCAGAAGAAGGCTTTTAATATGGGAATATATCTTCCGTGGAATATTTATTGAAGGACATAAATAAGGATTGCAGAGGATAAAAAGATATGGATAAGCTATGAGTTAAACCAGTGCAGGGAGGGCATGCACTGATGTCATAACTCCGATAAAAACTAAAGAATGCTTAAGATAAACACCAGAATACTACCCAATGTCATGCTGTCTAAAATTATCATATCTGAAATATGTTTGTTTATAAGTACTACAGAGGTAGGAGTATGCTCTACATGGTTTCAGGCTGATGCTATTTGAAACTTATTTCCAGTTTCATTTCCTGAGCTGGAAGGATGCTATAAACTAAGTAATAGTATTCCCTAGGAAAATGCCAGGGAAAAACTGCAGTGTGTGAAACCTCAAGTGTAATAAATGTATCAGTGGATAATCCATGACAATAGTAGCACTGTCAACCAAGAGCTCCTTAAAAAGCATCCATGTAATGAATCATGGTGAACAACACTACAATAAATAGATTGTATTCTGTGGTAGATAGTAAATGGGAGGAAGGCTGAATGTAACTTAGTCAACATGAATTAAATAAAAGGGACATAGCATCGTTTGTTCATTTGGGCTATCTTAATAGGCAATGCAGATTCGCACATATTAAACAAAGCTACAGCCATAACAGAATCAGCCAACATGAATAGATCATGTGCCCCATGACCTCTGAGATAATGATGCAGCTTTACTCATCCCTAGGAATGGAACATCTCACTCCTATAGTGCCTAATTTTGACAAAACTCAGGAAAATGAAAAATAGCAAATATTTTAAAGATTCTATACAGGTTTTGGCTAGGTGAATTATTTGCAGTTTTCCTAAAATGCAAAACCAAAACAGTAAAATTAATCAGTGCGCTTTGATTTCCAATAAAAAAGTAAGATTTTTTTAAAACATCAAATAATCTATTTAAAAAATCCTCATATACATAAAATCAATGGGCAATATACATTTTTGCATACACCATTGTGTTGCCAATATTATTTCTCAAAAGATGTTGCTGTTATTGGCATCAATAGTAGCAGTAGCACATCTTACTATAGGACTTTAAGGTTTACAAAGCCATTCTTCACAACTCTGTACAAGTATTACCTCAATTTTATAGATAAGGAAATTGAAGCTCAGAGAGCTCCAGATAACTTCGGTCAACATGGCCAATCAGAGTCAGAGTCAGAGTCAGAGTCAGGATGTGAACTGAGGGGACCCAGTCCAGTGCTCTTTTCAGCACCATGCTGCTTCTACCTCATCAGAACTGGTTTTTGGTACACAGAAACAGAGTATGAATAAAATAAAGCTCTAAGATCTCTGGTATCTGACTAGATTACATCTGAAGGTGTCACATGTAGGATGTGAACAACAAAGAATCTGAAGAAGTAAAAAAGTTAATGCCCTTTTCTGAATCAGGCACTTAAATCAATAGGTTTCCCTTTTGTAAGATATACTGTACAGATTCCACTCAAGTTTGTGGTGATCCTTTTGCTTTTTAATAATCTGTAAGATCACTGTCAAGAATGTAAAAGGAATGAATCAAGAACAAGGTTGGATGATATCCAACTGCAAAAAAGAACATGAGAAATCATTAACAATACCAGCACCAATACAAGAAAATTACAAATATGGGTAATAATAACAACTAATTTTTCTATTGCACCTTATAGTTTACCATGTGCTAGACACACCATATTATTTCTTTTGATCCTTACCAAAATTTTGGAAGGTAGCATGGCATAGTGGAAATCACCGTATTTGGAGTTCAAAGACCTGGTGGGGAAATCTAGTTCTGCTATTTGCTAGCCACATGCATTGGCCAAGACGCTTCAGTTCTCTAGGGTTGCAGTTTCCTCAAATGTAAAATGAAGAGGTGGGACTAAATGATCTCTACAATCCTTTCCAGTTCTAAACCTTATGATTCTTAACAGGCAGTAAGGGTAAAAAT